AAAAGCTTCACTGAAGCATTTGGTATTAAAATTTAGATGATTTTAACTTTTAATAATTATAGTTTAGAAAATTTAATTTATCATAAGTATATTCAAAGTTTAATTAGTTTATAAATCATAAGTTGTTTAGATCATAAATATTTTCATCTCATTTTAGATATTTTTATTTTCAATATTTTAAAAAAAATTATAATCTTTTAAAAAAAAGTGATAACTAAACAATCTTATTTTTGAAATTCTTTTAGACAAATTCATAATAGATGATATATAATAAACGTTTAAAATGATATTTAGTTTGATGAAATTAAATTTTCACATATTATATTTCTTTTGGGAAATATCCGATAAATAGGTCAGTTTATGGTGTAAACTTAATTTCTATTTTTTTATCAGAAAAATTCTGATTATTTTATATTTTGCCAAAATTAATGAAATAGACGTTATTTTGTATTTTTATAGAAAAATGACTTATTATTGTAGAAAATTAGATAACCGAGACTTTTCTAATGAAAAAATAAATGTTGTGATCAAACCTAGTGGGTCGTTTGTTCTTTACCTTAGAATGTTGTTTATCTGTCTCTGTTTCTCCAATTTGATAGCTTGTAATTTCTTCTTTTCTTCATCAGATTATTCAACTAGAATGATTTTTCCTTTGACTTTCAGATCAACATTAGAAGTTGATTTGATTAATTAAGTATCCGATCCTCCCGCTCCTTCATTAATCAAGACTCCTTTTGTTTGAGCTCTCTTTTTGTGTGTCAATTCTAGTTGTTGAAGTTGAGACAATGATCTTCATCATGATAGTTGTTGGAATTTGAGTAGATATAACTTTCCCCACACCAAATCCAATATCTTCTTCTGAAACATTCAACGATCCAACCCCTCTATCTCCCCCATGTGAAACGTACACTGGGTGAGGAGCATTAGTTGGGAGTCGAAGCACCAAATTCCGGATCGGATCCAATTCAACCTTTATACACATCTCAAGATCTGAAACCATCTGAGAAATGGATTCTTGAGAAATTTATGATTGATTCGAAAGGTCAATTTTCGATAGCACCTCCTTCATATCAGACAAACATTCTTCAACCTTGAGAAAAAAAAATTCATTTGTCTTTTGCTTGACTTGAAGATCATTCAAGTAATCTTTATTAAAGGTTATGATACCTTCGATCAATCGTGTAGTGGCATCAGCTACAACATCCATCTTCTTATGCAACAAAAAATATTTTTTTTATCAATTTTATGCACCTCTGTAGCCATCATCGTTCGAATTTCCTTCGGCTGAGTCTTAAGAAAAACTTTAATTTTTGCAAGTTGTTGCTCAAAAGTTTATGACGGTCTTTCGAAACTTCTCATAACGTTGAAATCTTGCAGTTGAAATTATGAGATTGATATGCAACATGATCGTCATTACACTTATCAACATTCTCAATTAGAGTCTTTAATCGAGACTCTTGAGCTTTCAACAAATATTCAACTTTAACTCCACTAACTGAATGCTTACTTCTAGTATAAACCACAAATTGAAGTATCGAGTTCATTTTGGAGTTGAGAATCTTAAATTGCTTAGCTGACTTGATTAAATCACAAGTTATATCTTCATCATCCGAATTGAACTGTAGCTTAGCAAAAGAAACCACCACATTTTCGTCATCAATTTCATCTTCTTGAATAGTTTTCTCATACTCAGTTGATTGAGATGAGAAACGAGGTGTAATTGTTTCTTGAATAACCCTAGTAAAAGTCGATGAAACAGTTATAACAGGAATCAAATAAGGAAGTGGAAATGTTGGTGATGGTGGAATAGTTGATGTTTCGATGAATGTTGATGTTGTTATTTCGATTGATGGCATCCCTTCATCCATGTTGATATGTGTCCTTATTAGATAAGTACATAGTACAGTTTGAATTTTTCACCTCCTCCATAACGGACTCGGTATGCGAAACACTGGATGGTTTGACTATCGCCTTCTCAAGGATAGTTGTGGTTTGTTGTTCACCTGAATCAATGTTTGCACCCGTATTAGATACATTTGTAGTGACATCAGGAATCTGTATCTCCTCAAATGTCAATTTGATAGGGGTATCCTTATGTGGTGAAACATGAAACGAATCCACAAATCGAGTGTCTGACCCATCTCTATCACTCTCATTATCAGTCTCCACTGTTACTTTCTCAATATGAACCTCTTCTTGATCGAGCTTTCGCTTAATTAATTTCTATGCAACCTCTATGGGATGACGTTTCTTTGAGGCTAGTGATCCATGACTCAAAACCTCCTGGAGTACAATACCCATTCTGGTAAATTGTAGTTTCTTAACTCTTTTGGAACCAAGCTTCTTCATAGTTGGCTCACTTGGTTGTGTAATTGGAATAGATTTCTCCATATAAATTTCATCAACTCTTTTCTCAACACTTTCTACACTTGGCTCTAGATTAGGTTTCATGGTTGCATAATCAGAAGGTCTCTCAACAAATTTCTTAGTTCGCTTTAGTAACCCTTTACCATTCTTCGTGGGTATAGTTTCTCTAACTAACTCCTCTTCCAATTTTGTAGGCTTGTCTGCTTGTTTCTTTTTCTTAGTAACTATAGACCCTTTTGATGGTCCTTTTGCCACATTTTGAGAAACCTTTGGTGGTAAAATAGCAGTTTCAATAGAATCGATATAAAGAAAATAGTTCACCAACAATGGATTTGCAAGCTCCACCAATTTAAGCATCGAATCCGGAAGTTAAGAGACCACTTGAAATACGGTAACATCATCCACAACTACCTTTGGAGCATTCATCGATGGGATTCAACAATATCAACATTTGTTGGAACAATACTATTTTCCTAACTGTATATCTTCTTCAAGATCAAGCCCCGAAAATCTAGCGTTCGACACTTCGATTACTAGTTTGGAATGAGTGATAGATTTTCCAAACTCCTCCCTTAACAATGAAGCATAGTCCACATTAAGACCATAATACAAACCAAAAATCACTGAATAAACTCCAAGTTTGGCTTTATCAAGCCAAGAACTTCTTCCTATCAATCACCATAAAACAATCCTGAAGAGGAAACTCCAAACACATGGTAGGATTGACTTCTTAAAATGACTAATATTTGTAAGAGTAGGTTGATTTCCCATATCATTAAACATGTAGATGACCTAATCAGTTGAAACTTCATAGAATTTACCTGAAGAACGTAACTACAAAATTTATGCGAACTGCTTCTTTGTGAGTTTCTTTGTTTTGGAATATGAAATCTAAAATGTAACAACTTTGGTCACCTTGTTATACATAACAATTGAAGAAGGAAGATATAACCATTGCATCAGAATGGTAATTGATGCCAATAAAGCAAATGAAAGGACAAAGTTGGTCAAAGTTTGAACAAGCATCTATAGTTCAACCGGATACACATTGAGAGACAAAATAAAATGAAGATTTGTATGCAGAATTGTTGGGTATTTGATGTTGCGTCATTGGGCCTTTTGCTTAGTCGTTTTGTATTATCGAGTTGGGCCTGTCCACTTGTTATTTATTCTAGGGTTAGTATATTTAATAGGCATTCATGCAACGTATTTTAGTTACATCTTATCTTTTACTTTGTAACCCTAAACACGCCTCTACAGCAACAATTCTTCATAGAGTTCTTCTGAGGTGTGACTGTTAATCATTCGACATCATTGATTCATCGTTGTGTTAATTCTTTACTTGTTCATAATTTAATCAATCATTAAGGATTAATTCCTAACAATTGGTATCAGAGCAAGAGACCGTGTGATCTATATGCATCTCTTATGTTTGTTGAGTTATTAGGGTTTCCGTTAATATAGGATCTTGGTTAGTCATCTTTATTGTTTTTTTTACGTCTTACATCGATTATTACCCTATTATCTATTTTAGTTTGCACATTTGATTCATAACAGGTATCGAAGAAATCATCATCATGCAGCACGATGACTCTTACATTAACTTTTTGAATATGTCAAGAAGTATTGGATCAACTACAAGGATCCTGATTCTTTTCCCTCATGAATACGAAGTTTGGGCTCTTCACTTTGAAGATTATGTTCTTGGTTCAGATGATAATGGCTATATAATATGGGAAGCCATTACTCTTGGTCCATTCGTTCATATTGAAACCAAAAGAACTATCAAAACTCGGAAGGAATACAACCGGTTGCTTCTTGACGTGAAGGAAGTTCCTTAGGATGAAAAAGAAAAACTAATTAGCAATGTCAAAGTGATGAGAATCATCATATTCGCTTTGCAGGCCAATACTTTCCGTTTGGTTGGTTCGCGTGATACTGCGAAAGCTATCTAGGACAGGCTCAAGTAACTTTACTCCACTAATGTAGATCTTGAGCATTCTACACAAACACTTCTGCTTTTGGAGTTTGGTGCTTTCGCATAGAAGCCAGAAGAAAATATGAGCTAGACATTCAATTGTTACAATCATCTTCTCAGCAGGATGACGAAACATGGTATTGGACGAGAGGTGATCGAGCAAAAGGTTACCTTTATGAATGGTCTTAGATCTGAATGGATGGAAGTTGTTTCTATAGTCAAAGCACACGAGAAATTTAAAAGTTACTCATTAGCAAAGCTAGTTGGAATTCTTAAGGCACATGAAAGCAAAGTGTCGAAAGAAACGAACGTTGTTTCTGGTATGGGGTCTCTAGTTCTTTTCGCGAAAAGCAAGATTGTTGCAGAGGAAGAGTCTAAGTCTGATCATTCAGAGTGTGATCTTCCAAATGAGGAGTTTGCTTTAATGGTCTCAAAACCCAAGAATTTCTCAAGGAAGAAATTTCCATCAAACAACAACAGAAATAGGCAAGGCAGCTATAGCTCCGAAAGGGTGAAAGAGGAGAATAAAAGTACTTCTCAAAAGGAGGAAGATAAAAAGGATAAGATCTTTGGTGATTTTGGCTATGAATGAAACTATTGTCGTGGCAAAAACCATTCGGCAAAGGATTGCATGTTGAGAAAGTTGAATGAGAGGAAAGAAGGAGAAGATGATGAAGCTTACCACATACAAAAGATAGAAGAAATCAAAAAGAAGAAGACTTCTGATAACTCTATGTCTGCTTTAATTGTGCAAGAAATGTTGCTGAAAATAAATTTGGAGGAGTTGAGGTTTGGTCAACAGACTCGGAGGATGATGAGGTTCGCAATCCCACACAGGGAATTTGAGGTCTAGTCAACAGACTCGGAGGACGACGAGGTTCACAAGGCTACACATGGAAGGGCGTTCATTGCGAAAGAGGAAAGTTCGTGGTTTGCGGGTAGATGATTGATGGTGATGAATGATGGGTCACAAACATAGGAAAATGCTACTGGGAGTGGAAGAAGAGATGAGAGTTGTTTCACTACAAGACGAGTTCCTGAACAAATCAAGTAATGTGAACAGCTGATCAACAAGGTAAATCTAATTCTCGAAATTCTAAATATACCTGTGTCTAGATATGAGACTAAATTAAACAATCTAAAATTCACTTTTTCCAACGTAAGTGACAGTTTAAAAAGGACTCATCTGAAAAACTCTAACCTAACTGATCAAATCAGCAGGGTTTCGTCAAAAAGCGATGAGAGGCGAATGTCGATTGAGAATATCGATCAAGTCAGAGTTGTCTAAGTCTAGGGATCAATTAATTTAATTGCAATGTGACAATTTAAAGTTTTTAAAAAACATGTCATTTTTTGTTTGATTGCTAAAAGGCTTTACTTTCACATTACTTAGTTGCACCTTGATTATGGAATTGGTGAGAAAATTCATAAGATGATCTTACCATTTCTTGAAATAAAGGAAGATGAAATAGACGCCGATTGTTACAAATGCGAATGCATAGTTTTGTTAGACGAAAATTCTAATGCATACGGGGTTGGACTAGAACGAATTGAACCGTACATTAATTCTAAAGACCACAAAAATATGTTAATATAGCTTTCAGATGAAAATGATAAGAAGCAAATCAAATCTGATACTGTACTGAAATTCGACGCATTGAGTACCAAATTGAGTTCAGAAAATAAGATAAATGTTGAAAGCACATATGAGTTCGATGAGTACAGTGATATGAGGGAAATTTTGGTAGAGGATGAGGTGGATTGCTCAGAATTTATTAAAAACTAACCTCAACCTGCGAAAGGTTTGATTTCTGAAAGTCAGTTGAATTCGCACGTATTTCTCAAAATAAACCAAAAACATTAAAAAGCGAAAGAAACTGTTTTCCCTAAAGTCCAAACTGTACCCAATCATGTTTTTTCCACTAAAGGACTGGACAAAAATCAAATTGTTGGACTAACATCCATTGTCAACGAAGACAGCAAAGAAGGTTGCGATGAGTTATTTTGGTCCGCTCCTACAGATAATGCAGACGAAACGAAGGGGTTTTCAGAAAGAACCTCATGGAGAGTGAAAGGAAGATATGTGGCAGAAGCACTGAACAATCACTCAACATTTGATAAAGGTTGCCCAAGTGGTACCAAGGAAGTTCAATGCGAACCTAAATCGATGAAAGACGAAAGCGGTGCTAGAAATGCAAAACCAAAGGCGAACATCCATAAATCGTCAGAGCAACTTGCAGCTCAAAGGCGCCAGCGAAATGTGATAGATCAAAGAAATATTGATGAAAGGAAGCAATTTTGGCAATCCCAAAATTCCAACTATGTTCGTAGAGAAAAAACTTCCATTCAGAACGTGAAATATCGTTCGCATGCGAATCCTAGTGAACGTTCGCACAGTCATTCTTGCAAATCAAATAGGAACGTTGTTTAAAAACCTTCTCTTTCAAAGAAGTCCATTGAGAAACCAAAATCTCATCCCACAAAAGCATCACCTAAAGATTTCACAGGAAAGGGAAAGATAGT